GCTCCAGGGCCTGTCGTGTGTATGATTTCTCTTTCTGCCTGGCTCCTGGGTTTGTAGGGACACTGTCTGCTCTGTGATACATAGTCCAGAGTGTTAATTAGGTGTCTACGATAGCCATGTGATGTGAGTATCAGTCACATGGAGGCAGGGCTTAAAAGCCTGAATTTTGCCTGAAACTCTCAGACTGAAGAAGTCTGTTGGAGGAGAGACGAAACGTTTCAATAGAGAAGAATCCGTCCAGAAGACCTATACTATTTTTTTCTTTTTGTTTTTTACCTGGATTACTGAGATGCATCAGGACATACAGTAGTAAGTATTCTACACTCAAATATATTATTACTTTTAACCTATTTAAAACGTGTTGATAGTACTCATCTACAGTGAGTCAGACTAACTTTGATGGTAAAATTTATTTTAAAATGATCCAATTTAGCTTATGTTACTCAGTTTTATTCCTCTAATGAAATTATAACATTCTAGTTGTCACAACTTCTAACTAATCAATTCATTTGAGGAAACTGATTGCCTTAAACCATTTAAGTTACCTCAACACAATAGAAACACAGACATATACTAGCTTTTCTAACAAATATTTAATTACAACACTGAGAAGTTGATTTGTGGCTCCAAAAGTGTCACACTGTGAGGAAGTATGTTGTAAAGTGTAAAAACTTTGAAATTTTACACACACTCACTCACTCACACTGCTGACTTCAGCGCTCTCACATCTGCATCTTCTCACACTGAAAACAGACTAAATTCCACCAAATGCTCAACAGGCCTGTGGTGCCACATTCTCCACTCGCAGGCCTCTATGCGGTTCTGCTCGGTTCAGCCTCAGTCAATGTGTTTCCATTTGGTTCCAACCGCGCACTTCCAGAACCACCTCCATGGTGGTTCTAAGTGGGTAGAACTAACTTCTGCACGCTTAAAATGTTGACGTCAGCAGAATGCTGCCCGTGGATTGACTCTTGGATTGGTTGACAGAGGAAAGGCGTTACATGTGCCAACTTATCCTGCAAACTTCTGGGTCCAACCTCCTGCCAATGTGACAAATGCAATGGGCCTCATGCAAGAACATGAAGAAGCGACTGAAGAAGTCGCTTGGAAGAGAGACGAAACGTTTCATTAAAGAAGAACCCGTCCAGAGGACCTATACAATTTTTTTTCCTTAGATTTTTTACCTGGATTACTGAGATGCATCAGGACATGCAAGAACATGTTCGTATTCTTATCCTAAATTTCTCTTACTTTTGTTCGTACAAAGGGTTCGTACGAACA